AAATCGCCGCGGTGCGACCGGTGACTAAGTCTTGTATTAAAACCCCCCCAGGTGTGAATGCAGCCCAAGGTTTCACTTTATCGCTTGGACAACACTTTGAAGGTCATCTCCAGGACCTCCCGTCATCCCCATTACGGACCTCCCGTCATCCCCATTATGGATCTCCCGTCATCTCCAGGACCTCCCGTCATCCCCATTACGGACCTCCCGTCATCTCCAGGACCTCCCATCATCCCCAGGACCTCCCATCATCCCCATTACAGACCTCCCGTTATCCCCAGGACAACACTTTAAAGGTCATCTCCAGGACCTCCATCATCCCCATTATAGACCTCCCGTCATCTCCAGGACCTCCTGTCATCTCCAGAACCTCCCGTCATCTCCAGGACCTCCCGTCATCCCCATTACGGACCTCCCGTCATCCCCATTACGGACCTCTTGTCATCCCCATTATGGACCTCCGTCGTCATCTCCAGGACCTCCTGTCATCTCCAGAACCTCCCGTCATCTCCAGGACCTCCCGTCATCCCCATTACGGACCTCCCGTCATCCCCATTACGGACCTCACGTCATCTCCAGGACCTCCCATCATCCCCATTACGGACCTCCCGTCATCTCCAGGACCTCCCATCATCCCCAGGACCTCCCATCATCCCCATTACGGACCTCCCGTCATCCCCAGGACAACACTTTGAAGATCATCTGCAGGACCTCCCGTCATCTCCAGGACCTCTCGCTATCCCCCTTATGGACCTCCCGTCATCTCCAGGACCTCCTGTCATCTCCAGAACCTCCCGTCATCTCCAGGGCCTCCCATCATCCCCATTATGGACCTCCCGTCATCCCCATTACGGACCTCCCGTCATCCCCATTACGGACCGCTCGTCATCCCCATTACGGACCTCCCGTCATCTCCAGGACCTCCCGTCATCCCCATTACGGACCTCCCGTCATCTCCAGGACTTCCCATCATCCCCAGGGCCACCCATCATTTCCATTACGGACCTCCCGTCATCCCCACTACGGACCTCCTGTCATCCCCATTACGGACCTCCCGTCATCTCCAGGACCTCCCGTCATCCCCATTACGGACCTCCCGTCATCCCCATTACGGACCTCCCGTCATCTCCAGGACCTCCCGTCATACCCATTACGGACCTCCCGTCATCTCCAGGACCTCCCGTCATCCCCATTACGGACCCTCCCATCATCTCCATTACGGACCTCCCGTCATCCCCAGGACCTCCCGTCATCCCCATTACGGACCTCCCGTCATCCGCAGGACCTCCCGTCATCCCCATTACGGACCTCCTGTCATCCCCATTACGGACCTCCCGTCGTCTCCAAGACCTCCTGTCATCTCCAGGACCTCCAGTCACAAAGCCAAATTACAGACCTCCCGTTATCCCCAGGACAACACTTTAAAGGTCATCTCCAGGACCTCCCATCATCCCCATTATAGACCTCCCGTCATCTCCAGGACCTCCTGTCATCTCCAGAACCTCCCGTCATCTCCAGGACCTCCCGTCATCCCCATTACGGACCTCCCGTCATCCCCATTACGGACCTCTTGTCATCCCCATTATGGACCTCCCGTCATCTCCAGGACCTCCTGTCATCTCCAGAACCTCCCGTCATCTCCAGGACCTCCCGTCATCCCCATTACGGACCTCCCGTCATCCCCATTACGGACCTCTTGTCATCCCCATTATGGACCTCCCGTCATCTCCAGGACCTCCTGTCATCTCCAGAACCTCCCGTCATCTCCAGGACCTCCCGTCATCCCCATTACGGACCTCCCGTCATCCCCATTACCGACCTCACGTCATCTCCAGGACCTCCCATCATCCCCATTACGGACCTCCCGTCATCTCCAGGACCTCCCATCATCCCCAGGACCTCCCATCATCCCCATTACGGACCTCCCGTCATCCCCAGGACAACACTTTGAAGATCATCTGCAGGACCTCCCGTCATCTCCAGGACCTCTTGCTATCCCCCTTATGAACCTCCCGTCATCTGTACAGGCAGGGGCCCGGGACCCTCCACCACGGCTGCACTGGAATGCTGGGAACTGGATACAGAGCAAGAGAATCCCTCCCAGACACTGCGGGGTCACAGCGCCCAGAAGTCATGGAGTATGGGGGGGGGGGGGCGCTGCAGTAGGACACCCCCTGCTGGTATAGGCACTGAAGGAGCCTAGGTCCAAGAGCTTACAATCTAAGAAAGCGATTTTGTTGCGGCTCCTAACTCTGCTCTGTGCAGGGGCGGACTGACCATTCCCGCACTGCCCGATTGCCCGGGGTCAGTATGGGGCCCCATGAGATGCCCCTGGTACCTTTCATAGGCTTTTTTGGGTTTGGGCAAGGACACAGGGGCTCCATGATCCCCTATTACCCGGGGGCCCCATGAGTTGTCAGTCCATCCCTGGGTTTGAGTGTGGGAAAGGACACAGGGGCCCCATGACTTCCTATTGCCCGGGGGCCCCATGAGTTGTCAGTCCACCCCTGGGTTTGAGTGTGGAAAGGACACAGGGGCCCCATGATTTCCTATTGCTCGGGGGCCCCATGAGTTGTCAGTCTACCCCTGGCTCTGTGTGAAGCAAATCTTCGCTCCTCTATTCCTCCCGAAGCCCAAAATCCAGAAAGAAGACGTTAAATAATGTATTCCCCGATGCAGTCAGGGAGTGGTCTGTGCGTCAGCATGTGTGGCGTGATTGGGCGCATGCGGTGGGTGAGATTGGACGCATGTGCGCGGGTGAGATTGGACGCATGTGCGCGGGGGTGAGATTGGACGCACGTACGCGTAATTGTACGGAGGATCCTGTGAAATAAATCGTCCGTAGTGCCACGCATAGGTCTGCACACACATCCACAGGGCTGAGATGTCAGGCGGCTGTCAGTGTGTGGTGAGGCCCCCGGTCACACCCGAGCGATTTTTAGCGCGTGACGCGCGACGAACTGGAAGAAAAAAATCAATTATTCTCAGTGGATTCGGTTCACATCTTCACTCCAAGTCCTGAAACATTTTTGTTTTCCCTCGCTGAAATAGGGCAGATTTGCAAATTTTTTTGCACTTTTCATTATTATCATTATTATCATTATTATCATTATTATCATTATTATCGTACGCGATTTATCATTTCGCAGCACTTTACAACAAAATGGCGGACAGTACGGCTACAATAAAAAAAATGAATACAGGAGGGACCAGAGGGCCCAGCTCATTAGAGCTTACAAATACCTCCACAGAAATGAACGGAAATGCGTTTCTCTGCTGAAATTATTCATAATTTAAAAATAATAATAATAAATTTAAAAGAAATACACAATTAAAATTAATTAAATTAAAAAAAAATAGGCCCTAACCTTTATCCCCTAACCCTAAGAAACTTGAAATAAATGATTAATCATCATCATCATCATCAAAAAAATAAAATAAATGAATACATTTAAAATAAATACACAAATAAAAATAATCATAAATTTAAAAAAATGAAATCAATGAATAATATTTAATAATAAATAAATAATAACCCCCCCAACCCTAAAAAAAAAAAAAAAAAAGAATAATGACCCTCTGTTTCCTATTTCCAAATTGTATTGTAACTGTACTGTCTGCCTTCATTTTGTAAAGCGCTGCGCAAATTGTTGGCACTATAAAAATCCTGTATAATAATAATAATAATAATTATTATTATTATCATTAATGGATTACCACCCTAACAAAAAATAAATAAAAAATAATAATACTAATAAAAATAAAAAAAATCAATGTATTTTATTTTTTGTTAGGGTGGTAATCCATTAATGATAATAATAATAATTATTATTATTATACAGGATTTTTATAGTGCCAACAGTTTGCGCAGCGCTTTACAAAATGAAGGCAGACAGTACAGTTACAATACAATTTGGAAATAGGAAACAGAGGGTCATTATTCATTTTTTTTATTTTTTTAGGGTTGGGGGGGGTTAATTATTATTTATTTATTATTACATATTATTCATTGATTTCATTTTTTTTTAAATTTATGATTATTTTTATATGTGTATTTATTTTAAATGTATTAATTTATTTTTTTTTTTTTTTTAGGGTTAGGGGGGTTAATTATTATTTATTTATTATTACATATTCATTGATTTTTTTTTTTAATTTATGATTATTTTTGATTATTTATTTTAAATGTATTTATTTATTTATTTTTATGATGATTAATCATTTGTTTAAAGTTTCTTAGGGTTAGGGGATAAAGGTTAGGGCTTATTGTTTTTTTTTTTTTATTAAATGTTATTCGTTTATTATTTTATTATTTATTCATTTTTAATTATTTGTGTGTTTTATTAATTATTAATAACCCCCCCCCCCCCCAAAAAAAAAGACCATAAACTATTACTCCCTCACCCCAATCTCTGATCCTAATCCTATCCTTAACAGAAAAAATAAATATAATAAAAATAATAAATGAAAGCTAATGGAAAACCTAAAAAAGGCTAAAAAAAACTTAGCAGCAAATGACGCAACAGATGATATTTTTCTCGCATTTTCCTCTGTATTATAGCGCTGAGGTTCTGGATTTACGATTGGCCGCAGGCACATAAAAGAATGATTTGCATGGCTCCGCCCACTATCCTGAATTGAGGAATAATCTCATGTTTTGGGTCTGTGTTGGACCTCCTGTGTATAGAAAGGCTCCATTGTGCACCTCAGTATTCGATATTAAAGGCGTAATCCCCACCAATCACGTTCGGATAATCGCCTTCTACAAATGTGCGCACGTGTCACCGATTCTCCACGAGTAAACTGTAAGCTCCTTTGGGGCCGCAGAGGATGTGAACGGTCCTACAGAAATTGTTGGCACAATATATATCAATAAAGTTTTAAAAAAAATGGTTTGTAACAATATGAAAACCAGCATGCTGTGAATGAAGCTTCTTAAAGGGACCTTCTCGCTATAACTGGAGCCAGGTGGGATAAGTGAGCTCCAAAAGCAATAATTCCCAGCCGGGATCTCTGACTGCTCATGTCTCAGCTCCTCATGGTACATCCCAGAAAAGATGGTGGGAACTCCCAGCGGGTGTACAGACTCGGGAACTCGGCACAGGGATGGTGGGAACCCCTCATAATGGGCACAGCGGGTGTACAGACCTGGAAACTCAGCACAGGGATGGTGGAACCCCTCATAATGGGCACAGCGCGTGTACAGACCCGGGAACTCAGCACAGGGATGGTGGGAACTCCTCATAATGGGCACAGCGGGTGTACAGACCTGGAAACTCAGCACAGGGATGGTGGAACCCCTCATAACGGGCACAGCAGGTGTACAGACCTGGAAACTCAGCACAGGGATGGTGGGAACTCCTCATAATGGGCACAGCGGGTGTACAGACCTGGGAACTCAGCACAGGCATGGTGGGAACCCCTCACAACGGGCACAGCGGGCATACAGACCCGGGAACTCAGCACAGGGATGGTGGGAACCCCTCATAACGGGCACAGCAGGTGTACAGACCCGGGAACTCAGCACAGGGATGGTGGGAACCCCTCATAATGGGAAATATCAGACTTGGGTCTTGGTCCTTTAATCTCAGGTTACAAAGCGATCCAACGTCCTCCCGTGTATCTGAGCTCTCAGGTTGCTGGGCTCGTGGGCTTGCGATCTAATGCTGCAAATCTCCGCTCTCCCTCTTGCCCCCCCCAGGAGCTCACAGTCGCCCGTCAGGCCGTAGGGTGGGCCGGCGGTGACAGGAGCGGCGGCTCTCAGATAATCCCCGGCGTGGGGTCCCCGCGGCCCTTCACATGCCAAATACTTCAGCAGATCAGAGCTGCAGCTTGAGCAGTCGGCTAATTTCGCTGCTCCGTGTACAAGAGATCCTGCCCCCCCTCTGAGATCCTGCGCCCCCCCCCCCCGGGGTAATCCTGGCTTAGCTGGGCGCTGACCCCCCGCAGAATGCAGTCGCCACTTAAAGACGCAGGAGCCGGGATTGTCTTCCTCCGGCACAGAATGGAACGACCTCTTCATTGTGTTCTTCCACTTCAATACGCCGGAGGAGCGAGCAGCTGGAGGAAACCGACAAAATGGCGAAACCCATCCTGCACTTCTCCCACCCATCCTGCACTTGTCCCACCCATCCTGCACTTCTCCCACCCATCCTGCACTTGTCCCACCCGTCCTGCACTTCTCCCACCCATCCTGCACTTGTGCCAACCATCCTGCGCTTCTCCCACCCATCCTGCACTTCTCCCACCCATTCTGCGCTTCTCCCACCCATCCTGCACTTCTCCAACCCATCCTGCACTTCTCCCACCCATCCTGCACTTGTCCCACCCATCCTGCACTTGTCCCACCCATCCTGCGCTTTTCCCACCCATCCTGCGCTTCTCCCACCCATCCTGCGCCCGACCCACCCATCCTGCACTTGTCCCACCCATCCTGCACTTGTGCCAACCATCCTGCGCTTCTCCCACCCATCCTGCGCTTCTCCCACCCGACCTGCGCCCGACCCACCCATCCTGCACTTGTCCCACCCATCCTGCACTTGTGCCAACCATCCTGCGCTTCTCCCACCCATCCTGTGCTTCTCCCACCCGTCCTGCGCTTCTCCCCACCCATCCTGAACTTGTGCCAACCATCCTGCGCTTCTCCCACCCGTCCTGCGCCCGACCCACCCATCCTGCGCCCGGCCCACCCGTCCTGCGCTTCTCCCACCCGTCCCGCGCCCGGCCCACCCATCCTGCGCTTCTCCCACCCGTCTTGCGCCCGGTACACCCCATCCTGAGCCTGCACTGGATCGCTCCCCAGCGCGCACAGGTAGTGAATGCGGCCAGCCCACCCATCCTGCGCCGGCCCACCTGTCCTGCACCCGTCCCACCTGTCCTGCACCCGTCCCACCCGTCCTGCGCTTGTCCCACCCATCCTGTGTCCATCCCACCCTTCCTGCGCTTGTCGTGCCCATCCCACCCATCCTGCACCCGGCCCACCCGTCCTGCGCTTGTCCCACCCATCCTGCGCTTTGTCTCGCCCGCTTTATATCAAAGATCCGGCCCATGTACATAAACGGCCGGATGGAAGCAGTGCAGGAGTGGGTGGCCATTTATAAAACAGCCCCCGCATTCACTGCCTGTGCGCGCTGGGGAGCGATCCGGTGCCCGCTGTGTCCGGAGGACACTGATTGCCGTATGGGACTTCTGTGCGAGGTCCTGATTCATGTGATCACTGATTGGCCAATCAGTGATCACATGAAGGGTAGTAAGTAAGATGTCACTTCAGACATCATTGCTTACTAATAGTAATCTGTGAATGATCACAGAGATCACATGGTACAGGGTTATTCACAACAGCCTTGTACCATGTGACAAGCTGTGACCAATCACAGCTCTCACAGTATTTCTCAATAGCTGAAAGAATGCAGTCAGAGAGGAGAAATGATTTATTTTACAGCCTTTATGGGTGTAAAAGCAACCAGTGTAAAAAAAAGAAAAAAAAAATCATCATCCCCCACAAGTAGTAACCATGGTGACACTGTACTGCTAAGATGAAGGTATGTAAAAAAAAAACCCCAAAAAATAGCAAAAACCAATAATAATAAAAAAAATAAAATAAATGTAAAAAGTTTTTTTTAGAAAAATTATAAATTTTTGGTTATAAACTAATTTTTTTTTTTTTTTTTAATAGATGAATACATTTTTTAAAGATTTATGAAGAAAGATTATTTATTTGCAAAATTTTATAAAAAAACACTTTTTTTTCAAAATTTTTGGACTTTTTAATTTATATAGCAAAAAAAAATAAAAATCCCAGCGGTGAATAAATACCACCAAAATAAAGTTTTATCTGTCTCAAACAAATGCTAAAATATTCATACGATTACAGTGTTGCATGACCGCGCAATTGTCATTCAATGTGTGACAGCGCTGAAAGCTGAAAATTGGCCTGGACAGGAAGAGGGTGAAAGTGTCCGGACTGGAAGGGGGGGGGGAAGTGTCTGGACTGGAAGGGGGGGAAGTGTCCGGACTGGAAGGGGGTGAAAGTGTCCGGACTGGAAGGGGGGGGGAAGTGTCTGGACTGGAAGGGGGGGAAGTGTCCGGACTGGAATGGGGGGGGGGGAAAGTGTCCGGACTGGAAGGGGGTGAAAGTGTCCGGACTGGAAGGGGGGGAAAGTGTCCGGACTGGAAGGGGGGAAAGTGTCTGGACTGGAAGGGGGGGGGAAGTGTCCGGACTGGAAGGGGGGAAAGTGTCCGGACTGGAAGGGGGGAAGTGTCCGGACTGGAAGGGGGGAAAGTGTCCGGACTGGAAGGGGGGGAAAGTGTCCGGACTGGAAGGGGGGGGAAGTGTCCGGACTGGAAGTGGTGAATAAAATGAAATCATCATTTATATACTGCATTATGTAGTTACGGGTTGCGGAGCGGAGGCGTGCGTTTGAAGACGCCGATGGAATCAGAAGTTTTTTTTTTTTTTTAAGTCCGCAAACGTGGAAACTACAACGAAAAACCCGTAAGTGATCACAAAAAATGTGCAAGTGCGAACACCACACGAAAAAGTGCACTTAGGGGTGTGTTTGTCCTACCCCCGAAAGGGTTGGACCGTTCGCCTGATCCCCCGGGGCACGAAGCTCCTGACAGGGACAAGGTTCCCATTTGGTCCTCCTGGCCTGGTGGACCACCGTTCCTTATGCCCAGCCGAAGCCGGACATCCAGTACTAGGCAAGGGGGTTCTCCGGAAGAGAAAGCCCCCTAGGGATCAGGGGAGGAAGGAACCGAAGGGCCACACATCCTCCCCCTAGACTTCAGGGTAGGCCCGAGGACCCACACCCTCCATCCGTGAAAAACACACACACATAAGTAAAGTAAAAAGTGACAAAACATGGGAGTGCATAATAAATAAGGTAAAGATAAAGTAAAGAAAAAAAAAATAAAAAAGTGGTACCGTGCCGAATTGTGCACAGACCGGGCCCTGAGGCCCGTAGCAAAAATTGCCCCGGACTTAGCCAAAAGACCTGGTCCTTAGGGCGCTGTGCAAAAAGAGGTGAAAAAACAGTGGCCATGTGTCATCTTCACACCGTGGGGTCCCACACCCAAGTGTTACTAGTGACACCCCTGAGAGCGTCTTCCCCAGGGGGCACTGAGTTTGCGGACTTTTTGCGTCCCCAGCCCCAGGCCAGACCAAGGTAGATCCGTCCAAATCAGGAGGTACTGGGTCTTTCCAGTCTTCCCAGAGGAATTACTCCCGGGGCCCCAGCTTAACTCGTGGCGCTCCCCGGTTTCTGTCCCTCCGGTACTAGCCTTCCGGACCCCCATCATTCCAGTGAGGGTACTATACAACAGCCATCCCCGCAAAGCTAGAATGGCCGGGAGCACCCCCACTGGACACTGATAAGAACAGATACTACACTTGATCTTAGCCAAAAGGCCGAGAAGCCAATGGAATCAGAAGTGATCGCCGTGCTCAGCCAATGGAAACGTTGGCTTTAGATATACTTTGTAAATGTTTTTAGGGACAGAACACGGCCGGGTACATTTATTGTGTGTAGCTCAGCGGCGATGCGTCTCTGGAGGTCTGGGGTGGACATAGTGCAGAAATGTAATCGTTTAATTGAAATCCGCAGCATTCGGATTCTGGAACCCTCGCAGAGTTCCGTGGCCGGCGGAGCGGAACGCATGTCCTGTGACACAGCAGGTGGATTAGGGGGCGGACCCAGGTGGGTTTCTGTTTCCTGCTGGTTGCTGTGGAGATAATCCGGCATGAGACCAAAGTCATGGAAGAACCGGTTGGGCAGAAAGTGCTGTGAGACTGGAAATGAAAGGCCGGGGAGGGTGAAATACAAGACACCAATAATCCGGAGCTTTCTATGTTTATAATCATCTCTTCCAACCCGTCATCGGATCTGTCATCGCAAGAATGTCAATTTACAGGAGGCGGGAGAATTAGGGTGCCCAGCTGGAATGGAGAATTGAGGTGCCCATCTGGACTGTAGATCTAGGATGCCCAACCGGATTGCAGAATTAGGGAGCCCACCCAAACTGTAGAATTAAGGTGCCCATCTGGACTGTAGATCTAGGATGCCCAACTGGAATGGAGAATTAGGGTGTCCACCTGGAATGGAGAATTGAGATGCCCATCTGTACTGTAGATCTAGGATGCCCAACTGGAATGGAGAATTAGGGTGTCCACCTGGAATTGAGATGCCCATCTGGACTGTAGATCTAGGATGCCCAAGTGGATTGTACAATTAGGGTGCCCACCCAAACTGTAGAATTAAGGTGCCCATCTGGACTGTAGATCTAGGATGCCCAACTGGAATGGAGAATTAGGGTGTCCACCTGTAATGGAGAATTGAGATGCCCATCTGGACTGTAGATCTAGGATGCCCAACTGGAATGGAGAATTAGGGTGTCCACCTGGAATGGAGAATTGAGATGCCCATCTGGACTGTAGATCTAGGATGCCCAACTGGAATGGAGAATTAGGGTGTCCACCTGGAAT